TAATATATATATATACACTTATCTGCTCTTTCGAAAATCTCACACTTAAGATAATAAAAAAAAATTAAAAAAAAAAACATGCAACTTTAACACAAATGGTATTTAGCGGTGGCCTAAAGCAACAGATGGTATGCCTCGGCCTTCTACTCTAGGTGGTTATGCCTAAAGTTCCGTAAAAGAATTAAACAGGTTCCGAGAGTTTCAACAGTTCAGAGTTCAATATAATCAATAATCCATTATTTACTTAATATTTTAGTTACCTTTACAATATTATTTTTAAAAAAAAACGTATAAAAAAGATAGGAAATTTTTTTGGGAAAACAATGCAGAATTTTTCATATAACAATTTATGGAATAAACTCCTAAAAAGACATGCATTAGTACATCCCATCATGTTTTTGAAACAAAAATAAAATAACTAGATTGAAATTAAAGAAATTTGTTTTCCTAATAGCCATTTTCAACGTTTAGCTTACAATTCAACGAAAGCTATCTTTTTTATACCTTTTCTTAAATAATATTGTAAAGTATAATTCAGCGAAATTCGGCTTTTTTCATTCATAATTCGGCTTTTTTTCATTCATATTCTGCTTATGATTATACACCTAAAAGAAATTCATAACAAAATTAGATTCAGTTCCAGGACAGTGAATTCAACTGTCGGATATAAAACCTAATTTAAGATTAGTAATGATTAAACGATGAGTAAGCAAACTGTCTAATGATTAAACGATGAATAAGCAAACTCTCTAATGATTAAACGATGAATAAGCAAACTCTCTAATGATTAAACGACGAATAAGCAAACCCTCTGAGAGATATTGCTAAAATTTTCCACCGTAGTGGACACCCTGTTTTTTGAGCAATAATAAACCTTTAACCTGCTGGATTCTTATTTCGCACCAATGGAGAAAGGATATTTATGAAAAAAGTGGTAGCAGATTTGCATATAAATTAAATAAAAAATGTTTGCAGTTAGGTACTAATTGTGTTAAAAGACACTGTTTCATTACAGAGCAAGATATAGAGCACATGATATGCATTTTTACATAATTAAAAGATTTTGGTTGAGAGTAATATTTGATTTTCCCCATTGTAAGTGCTGAGTATGAAAAATTAGATTTAACAGTCTTTAACATTAGAAAGAGAAAGGAGAAGAGACTAACTAAGACAAAGAGACATATTTTAAAAATGTATTTAAACGGTTATCAAGCTTGGTGAAGCATCAAGTTTAACATTAGAAAGAGAGAGAAAAATAGACTAACTAAGACAAAACGACGAATTTAAAAAATGGAACAAGGGTTGAAGTTGAGAAGAAGGTGAAGCATCATGACCAGTTCAACTTCGATAATTTTTGGTAAAAGTCAACTAAAATCTAAAATTTTAATTAGTTTACATAGCTCCCTTCCACACGCACACTCTCTTTAACCCACAGTCGGAGCAGATTTAATATTTATTCCCGTTTCTTGATCGTAGTTGAACTCTTCCTTACTTAAAGTAGTTTTAAGGTATTTTAAAGACGTTTGCAATTCCAAAAAAAGAAAATAGATCAACCCCTATTTTAAATTAACCCAAAAGTGTATTTTTAGACTTTTTATCTAATATATTTCTAGAGATACTTGACAGCTTTTCTACATATAGGGCACATATTCTATCTATTTCTAGCGAAATATTTATTCTACAATTATTTTATTAATATAATCTGACAGGGAACCTACTTCTGTGAAGGACACACTAGTTTGGGCCAAATCCACAATCCTGAAGCTCCTACAAAACACAACCTGCTATGTAATGAAGAAGGGACGTACTTTACCATACTAAGAAGTTCAGACTTCAAGCATGGAAAGTAATTATTTAACCTTTTTATTAAACATGACTAAAATTAGTCACTTTTTAAAAATTACCAATAACTGAAGTTCATTAAAACTACAATCATTTAATTTATAAAAACAGAGCTTTAATGTTCTTGTTTTGTTGTTGTTGTCGTAGGCCATAAAGGCAAGAGCTTTCGTTTGTTCTTGTTTACCAGTGGCTCCGTCTATGGCCAAGAATTCGACTTCTGCCAAGTGCTGCTTTTTACAACTGCATCTTTTTGGGATCTACAGACCCTGGACAAATTATTAGACGCACTATAAGATTCTATGTAAAATCTTAATTATCAGGTGATACTATACAACATTATTATTATGCAACTGAAACCGGTTTGCACATGTTTATGTTCGTGTATCAATCGGGGTTAACATTGTAATGCAATGCGTTAAAAATAAATTCAAATGGGAAGTATTTGAAAAATCTCCCGAATAAAAAACCCATTTCATGCATGTTTAAATATAAAAGTATTACATATAAACTCGTACGAAACATGTAATTATTAAATCATTAAAACAGTCTAATAATTTGACCTAATTATTATAATACACTGATATATTACCTGATATAATAAATATTCTATATTTGGGCTGGGATAGCCTGATCGGTAGGGCGCTGGGCCCATATCCAAGAGGTCATGGGTTCGATCCTCGCTGACCGAAGACTCCCCATGTAGTAAATGGTGACTGATGCACGTTAAATCTGTCGAGTCTCAAAGTCCTCCATGTTCCCACAACAAATCAATACCTCTGGGGGTACTGATCCAGGAGTTTCCTTGTCTTCCGGATTGGTTCAAAATTACAAGGCTACGGAGTTGAACGTAAGTAGTCGTAAACCCATGAAATTGGGTCGGCTGTTCAACGACGGTTATAAAATAAAATAAAATATTCTATATTTATGTAATATATCGTCTAATTTATCCAATCGTCAAATTTATATTATATAATGTCTAATTTAACCAATTAATACTCAAACGTAAACAAGTGCAAACCGGTTTCAGTCGTGTAAAAACAATAAGGCTGTATAGTATCACCTGATCATTGAGATTTTACATATAATATTATTGTGCGTCTAATAATTTGGCCAGGAATTTGGTAGAACCAACATTCTTCCCTGTAGATTTCAAAAATGAGGAAATCGGTTTGATGGTACTGAGACGGATCAGACTATCAAATCAGATTACTAACCGTTATTAGATCATTATTTGATTAACTTGAAGGCTCCAACTTCCATTTTTTTCATCTACTTCTTCTTCGTAGGAATAAAAAAAATCTATATCTCTTAATAAAGATGTAATATATCATTGAATTTACTAAATTAGTTTCGTTCCTTTCTGATTGACTCATGAATAGTTTTAGGTTTCCTGCTACCAAAAAGTTAAGAGTTAAGTTAATTAATGATAAATGCCCCAGAATAGTTAAATCCTTTTAAATGAACTGTTGTCAATTGTTGTAGTCTTTAAATGAGCCTCACTAACGAGATGAGAAATTTAGTAGATGAAAGTTAGTCCAAAACTTGTTTTTAGTTACTTTTTTGACAGTTCAGTTTTGACAGGGGGTAGTATAAGGTTGATAAGGTATGAAAAACGACTTGTTTAGTAGTTAAAGTAAAAACCTTGCTTCTAAATCGCACCGTGATGATTTATGACAGCACACAAGAAACGGTTAAGGCAACTATGTAATGTCTTAAACAAAGTGATTTTCCAAGACTTAGCTGATACGAAACAAATAGAACAAAAAAAAGTTGCTTGAAAATGACGGAGTGAGGTTTCATCCTCTATTTCTCTCTCCCGTGATATTTCCGGGTTGGAGTGTTCAGTAGTAACGCGCCAATAAAAGTAAAACTAATTCATTTCTTTTGCCCTGAAAACATTTTATTTCTCATTTTACACACTAGATGGCAATACCAGGATATTTTTAAGGCAATTATAGATAGTTTATTTTAAACTAGATGTCAGCACTAATCAAATACGTAATACGAATACAAAAGCCAGAAAAATGGGCACTTTTATGAACGTTTTCCTTGAAAATTAACCGATTGTTAAGGGTTTGACAACTATATGAAGTATTTTATAATCGGCCCATTACTTTAGTTTTGCTATATCCTTAGACAGGATGTTCAAAAATTACATTGAAAACTTATAAAATTGATTAACCTAAATAAAAACTTGACGAAAGTTGAAAGCGACATGATTTTTCCGCATGGCTAATCATGAAAAGAAGTTTCCTAATTTGTCCCACTACAGCGTTTCATACTCCAAAGATTATACATTGGGAAAGAAGTCTAGCTCCCATTGACATAACGTAAACTAGCCCCCGAAGGTTTGTTGTGATCTTTGTGTATAGAGGAAAAAACAGCATTTAGGGGCACAACAGCAGAGGTTCTATAAACGAGTTAGCACCCTTCTCTCTCCCTAACCAATATTGAGATTGGAAAAGGGTTAGGGTGAATATAAGTTTTCTCTGTCTCTATTGTTGGTTTGTTCTGTATTTCTACACTAGTGATAAACTGCACTGCACTTATTAATTACTTATTAATTTTTCTTTGGGAATACGTTAATAAGTGAATCATAATAAGCGAAACCATGTTAAGTGAATCTGCTTATGTATCTGCTAACACAATTTGATTTCGAAAGAAAGAATAAAATGGTGGTTGGCGGGAAGCAGCGTACCCAACCATGCTTGCAGAGTTATCCATCAACAGGTTCGCAGGTCACGTACCTCTTGACTGTCACTTTGCCTCATATGAGCATGAAACTTTTCATGTTCTTGTTGCATCCGTCCAAGTTTTTACCCAATGGCAAAATGGGTCTTGTTTTGGGTTTTATGGCGTGCGCACTTTATTTCGACGTCATCACACTTTTCAACTGTGTTCAAGAGTAATAGTAAACAGTGCGCATTGTATACGTCGACATTGCATACGTTGCCATGGCGACCGCTGCTGTTTGATAATTTTTTTGGAATTATTTTTTTCTCACCAGCAGTCATTCTTAATGTATTTACATAATAATAATTTAAAGTATTTTCATATTCTTTTTATTATTAACTTATAATTACTGTCTTGGCGGTGATTTTAATATAAATATGAATGCTGAAGAAGGAAGGTGACGTCCTGAAACACGTACATAGCCTGGAATTGAAAACCAATCCGACGACAAACATCAATTGAGACAGTTTTTGCAACCCATGATTTGAAATGTTGTGGCGTTTATAAGAGGCAAACCAGAATAAAAAGCATTTGACCAATGGGTTACCAGTGATCGTAATAAAGAGCTCAAAATTTTTTTTCTTTCTGACTACTGCTCTGAAATAACATTTTTTTAAATTTATTATTGTTATTATTATTACACCATATCCTTCTTAAACACAGCAGGCAATTATGAATAAACTTGTAAATAATAACTATTACTTTTCTTTTCAGAAATGCTGCGCCAAGAAGACAAAATCGGCGTGAAATAATGTATCGTTACATTAAAGAGCCAACAAAGGCGACAGTCTTTGTAGCTATTGATATTTCTGCACAAATGGGAATTCAGGTTCATCTTTCCTTTGATTTTCATATTTATTGAACTTAATGAATACTCTGTTTTAATATTTTATGTTTAGAAATAGGTTAAATTTGTATGATTTTTCTGTCTGTCTCGTACTTGCTACATTTTGTAGTCCAGCAATAACTACCTTGAATGTAAAACAAATACGCTTAAAGCAAGTGAATATTTTGTAACAATAACTACCACTTCAGTTGCGCAAAAAAAAAATTGGAATTCAGCAGATATAATATCAGGTGGAAAGGTGAAAAGCATGTGTAGTAACCCTTACAAAAAAAATAAGGTGTTTTTGAGGTTGTATTGAGGTTGACAGATGTAAAAAATATACCTGAGATAGAAAATGAAGTTATGTTTTGCACCAAATATAACCTCATTAATAAATCTCAATTTCAACCTCATTTGCACCTCCTGAACTCACCCTGATATGTAACAGCGATACTTTCAGTTGAGATTGGGTAAAATTTTTCCCACCTCCAAAATACTTATTCGCTTGACGCGTAGAAAAAATAGCCTGTACACCTCAAAAAATAATCTTTCTAAGCTGGTTCCTCTAAATTAATTTCCAACAGCCTCAAGTGTGAACATCACAACTCCATATTGGTTATAGACCTTAAAAGGTTGATCTTTTAAGGTTGTTTCTGAAGTCAACTTCAAAGAAATCTTAACGCCTCAAAACAACCTCAAAAACACCTTAAATTTTTGGTGGAATAGAGCAAAAACTGGTAAGAAAATTATTACATCCCAGCTTGTTTTTCGTGAACTGCAAGAGATTAATGATTACTAAGGGTTTTTTTATATTTGCAACATGGTATAGGCCTGTATTAGAGGTAAATAATATATAATGAATACGAGCATCTTACTGAGTCATCTTTGAAAACTAGTAAAATTTTCTAAATAAAGTATCTTTTCGAATAAACAGAATTTTTCGATAAACCTAATGATTATATAATGTATTCATAATATAATTACAAAACGACTTCTTCAGTATATCACTCTTTGACAAGCAAGCAGCAGTGCAGTTGAAAAATCAACGTAAGCTACAAAAAATTCAAAATTGTGATTTTTTATATATTTGGCGTCTTTGAATCTATTGCAGAAAAAAAAAATTTCAAATATAAATTTTATTTTATCATTTTTTTGAAATTCTATTTTAGCGGTCATAGCATTAGCAATAGAGGAGAAATAATTATCTAGCCACTTTTCTCGGAATCAATCGTGAAGCACTTATGTTGTTTTTTCAATTGCACGGCAGCATAGCCCTCGAAGGAGCAGAAAAAGAATTGCATAAGGTAAACACGAAAATAATTGTATTCATTAAATTATTTTTATGTATACTTATGCAAGCTTGTGTGCTCATTCAAAAGACGGCTTTTAAGTTCTTGCGAAGTTGAAGAACAGATAATACAAACTGGAGAAATGCATCACAAAGATGCTATTAAGGCTATGGTTAAATTCGAGAACACTATTTCAATTCTACAGAGCGTTTGGTGGTTAGACGAGCAAACTCGTTCAGGATCAAAAATAGTTTTAAAAATGATTATTTATCTTTCACAGTTACGGAGACAAAATTTCAAATGGCAACATTTAATTTTTCTCTTTAAGAACGTATGATCGGAGTAAAATACTTCAGTTTGAACTGTATTTTTAGCGCAAACAGGCAAGCGGTTGCAAGATCAAGATGAAGAGAGCAAGATGCAGCATACAAATCATTGCCCTTCCTTCTCTTTTTCACGTTGTCATCAGTGTTCTTATAAATTTTATAAGATACCCTTTTCTTCATTTCTCCCTGGTGCCAATGTTTTCCATACTAATATATATCGCTCCATTGCCATTTTAAGTTTTTTAATGCAATGATCACGTTCTGATGGGGGGGGGGAGTAGTTGTTGCCATTCGAAATAATTCTGCGTGTCCAAAATTCTGCTGGTTTTACCTCAACAAAAATAATTGGGAAAGGTTTCAACTCTATTTTTAACCGCATATCTTATAAATCCTTCGTAATTCTTTTTTTCAATTTTCTCACTGACCTAACATTGATAACCTATTCTCATTAATTTGACCAACAGATTCTCGACTATTAAAATGAAATCCCCAGATTTATTTCAATTATTACTTTGAACATTTGTTGCTCTAGATGTCTTGCTACTTGAATAATAATAATAATAACGTTTTAGAGAGTTATTTTTTCCAGACATGCTTTTTAAACTTTTTCCCAATTTGAATCATGTAAAAACTAGAATCTGCTTAGTCAACAACTAATTCATAGAGCTTAGTGGACAAGAATTTAATATAATATTGTAGAAACATTTGAGTACGGTCAACCATTATTTATATTATGCCAAGTCTTTAAATAATACTGTTCTGTATGCAAAAACATCTAAATTTTATATGTTTGTGAATTAAATAAAATTAGACAATTACATCACATTTATATTTAAATTTCAACTATCCATCTTTGTGTTAACTGCAAAACTTTTTTTTGACACAGTTCCAGACCACCTAGAATGTTCAGATATTATACCTTTATTTCGAGACAGAGAGTTATTAAGAACTTAATTTGTTTGTTTTTTAAATCATCAGTTATTCAATTTGTGAGCATTGAAACAATTTTTGTTTTATTATTTAAAGGGCAGGTTTGCAGCAGTTAAAAATGCATTCTCTCGGTTTGTCTACAATGATTTACCAGGAGGCAGTTATCTGAGTGTATATTTATTTGGAGGTGATGGAAACATGACTTTAGTGACATCTGAGAGACTGATTGATGATATTGAATCGAGAACTATTTATTTGGAAAGTCAGCCTTTGCCTGAAGAAACCTCTAGATCTGAAAACTCTTGTCCTGAATGTGTTTTAAATGACATAATTGAGGCAAGTTCACTTATTTTATAAAATGTATGTCCAGTGCGCAAAATAAAAGAGTGAATAGCTTGAATAACTTTTAATCTAATAATCGGAATTTTAGTATTAGGATGCAGTCTTAATCGCTCAAGGGTCTAACCTTTCTAAAATCCTAGCATACATCACACATTTGGCATGATTTTGAAAAATGTCGCCAGCGTTGAAATGGCGTATTAACTCTTGTCAAAAAAGAGCAATAAGACCCACTAAATCTCACCCAAATCTGCAACTAAAGATTCTTAACTTTATCGTCTTCCCAAACATCGCCAGGACTAATACGATTGTTTACGTGACGAAATCAGACACAAAAACGCTCTTTCTCTAAATAAGCATACCTTTTTTTCGATGCGTTCGGATTACTGACGGTTGTAGTTGTAGTTCCTTTACGTCGCACTAGAACTGCACAATGGGCTATTGGCGACAGTCTGAGAAGCATCCCTGAGGATGATCCGAAGACATGCCATCACAATTTTGATCCTCTGCAGAGGGGATAGTACCTCTGCTTCGGTAGCCCGACGACCTGCACGCGAAGTCGAGTACTTTACGGTAGAACAGTTTAACGAGGACCAATACCGCACACCCTCGGTCCCTACGCAGACTGATCCAAGTGGTCACCCACCAGCACACTGACGGCAGTCAGTGATGCCTGACTTCGGTGATCTGCTGGGAACCGTTTCTTAACGATCAGTCCTCTGCGGAACCGGATTACTGACGGAGGGTGGCATCTATTAAAAAAATATGGTCTTGATTTTACTTTAATTCGCTATATCTCGAAAACTTTTTAAGCTAATCGAAAAAAAATTTTGCACACAATTATAAAATTAATTTATCCAAACAAAATTTCAGGTAAAGATTAATTTCAATATTTTTTCATGTAATAATAATCGAAAATTACTTGAATTCTTGGACATACAAATTTTTACATAATTTTAAAGTATTCAATTTTAAATAGCGCATTATAAAATTTGAACGAAATAGTCCGAATACATCTCAAAAAATCACATTTTAATTAATACGACTTTTTTAAAACTTGATATCTGGACGTTTTAGAAAACTGTTATAACTTTATTCTCTTCTTTTAAGAAAGGAATCGACCTTTTAATAGTTTGTAAGTACTATCCCATTTTCTCTAAAATTTCTACTTTAAAATAATTTCCTTTGAAACAAACGTAAAAACAAATGGAAACTCTTCGTATAATAAAGATAATAAATTTATAATAAATTGTTTTGCAGCATTTAAGGAACAACAGCAATTACTCTCCTCACATTATTCTGATTACAACAAAGCTGAATGTGGATGCCACAATGTATCAGAGTCTCGTTACAGACTTGAAGGATTCTGAAACTCGTCTTCATGTCTTCATGTTTTCAAATGTCCTCCCAACTGCTACAGACAAGCATTCAACTTGGTATTCATTATGTAAGGAAACTGGAAATAATTTCGTTTTCTTGGGAAATGACCTTCTCGGAAATCTGTACAGCAGTTTCTCAAATGCTGTCCTGTCGTCAACAAAAGATGCTCAAGTAAGATATGTTGCAATCTCTAAGTTTGAGGTGTAGTTTAATTCTTAGTTTCCAAGTTGTTAAATACTTTTATTATAAAAATTGGTTGGAAATTGGTAAATTTCAATTGTAAAATTTTGTTGAAACTCAGTTTCTGTTTACCATGATACTCTTTCCTTCCTGTCTCTGCTTTGAATGATGTCAGCACCGGGTTACCACAATTTACCGATATGTGATTGGATCTTGGCTTATTTTCATATGGATATGCATAGGCATGTCATCAATGTCAAAGGGGCCCCCGATTCTACACTTTAACCAAAAATTATTTTTTTAACATATTCTAAATATTTATGGGTGAATAAATCTATAGATTGATTTCGTTAAGCTTTAATGAAAGGGAAATATGAATATTTTGCATTAACTACAATTGGGTATAATATGAAAAAAGCATAACTACTTCCACTTACTAGGAATTTTACAATTTTACTTACTACATTTACCTTTTAGTTTAATTAATAAACTGAGTTTTAAATATGCTTACTAAATTCATAAACTTCGGTAAAACAACAATATAAATTATTTCCAAAGGAACCAGACTAATACAATTCCAACCTGGCGAGTAGCGACTTATAACAAGACACTTCGTTTGATGCTTTTACTTGTTGCTAGAAATCAGGTTCGCAGAAAATGCTGTTTACTAGTTAAATTTAGTAGGAATAACACGATCTGTGACGTAGGCTATAGTATACCCAATTAGGTACTTGCACTTCCAGACATGTGACCTATGCATGTGACCTTTGACGTAAGCGCCAACTAATCTTTATAAAAAAAAATGGCGGATTAAAGTTGAACTTAGTTTCTCGACATAAGTTAGAATGTTAATTAACGATATAATTGAATACAGAGCCATCTCGCACATCAAATTAATTGAAATATAATTCTTTTATTTAACTTAGATTTATTATTTGTTTATGTGTTTTATTGTAACTGTGATATATTTTTGATTTGTGTACCTGGCAACTTCGATGCATAATTAGCTTGCTTATGTTCCACATGGCCTCGTGCCTATCTTTTTGTTAAGTCTCTGTGTAAATATACATTGAAAGAATTAAAATCTTTGAGAAAGAATTTTTGTGAAAGAATTTAGAATGTGTCCCTTAAGAATATTGATACTTGACGAGCTTGGCTTACTCGAAAGAGAATGGAAAGAACAGTTGCAAACGTAAACAAATGATGCCTTTCAACAACCAATCAGGACCGAGATTCCCACACTACGTTCATTAATCATTTACCATACCTGCCAATTCTTCGTGATTTTTCTAAAAATTTAATTTTTACGATTAATTTTGTAGCCAGTTTTGTGCATTCAAAACTCAATTCCTGTTTTAATAAATTTGATTTTAAATAATTTTTACAACGGTTACTATTTTTCGTGTAATCATTGTAAAACAACAACTAAATATGTAAATTATAGAATGTAACGTAAATATATTACACAACTATAAAATATGATTAAGTTTTACCACTTTCAGTTTTAAGCCTTTTGTTTTAATTAATAATCAAAATCATAAATATTACTAATAATAATGTTCATAAAGGGTAATAAATATATGGTAGCGGTAAATACCGTTAAATAATGGACAACTTCAGAATTTACAGAGAATCATTATGACTTTCATTAATTTTATGCTGGTGACTACCTAAAATATCCGAATCTTTTTTGTATTCATGATAAGTCAAAGTGTTTCGACGATTTTTGTCGGTTACTTCGACACCTCCAACAGATTTTTAAAAATAGTTATGCTTATTCAATAAAAATAACATTATTACTATTTGCAGATAACTCAAGATTATCTTAATACACTAGACGAAGAAATGTTACATTTCCCCATTTCAGTCGACGCCAGCATGTCGAAGTCTCTAATTGTGTCATTAACTGGACCTTTGTTCGATTCCGATCCATTGAGGTATGACGCTACTTTTCTCAAAGATCCAGAAAACGAAAGAATATACCCACAGAAACAAGAGCTTCTTCCTGCATGGATATTCAACATCTCAAATCCAAAAGTATGTTTTTTCTAAACTCTTTCTTCATACTATTCACTATACTCTATTGCAAGTTAAGAAAAAAGCATTATCCCAATGGCGAGAGCCTGTTTGCATCTAAATGTCTAAAAAAAAGTGCATCTTAATGGATGTTAGGTTCCAAGCGCGAACGAATATCAACATGGCCAACTTTTGAAACGACGTACATGGCCTTAATTTGCTTATAAAAATATAGCACGAATTAAATTTCTGTCCAACGAGTTTAACTTTTAAATGCTTTTAATATTGTTTTGAAGCAAATGTATACTTATGTATACTTATACATAATGTATACTTATAATTTGATAGCTAAATAGAACGGAACTATCTGCAGTTGCGGATGATTACTTAAGTCCTATACGTCCTTAAGTCTTAACTACGTCCTTAAGTCCTTAAGTCTTAACTTGCAATGGAATACAAGAGTTTATGAATATTTTCCATGAATTATATGCTAAACTTACAATTGTACAAGGCAATCTATAATGATCACCCTCAATGCTTATTTTTAGAATTCTTGTCTAAAATGAATTCAAAAACATGCACATATCAGGAGATGTGAGTTATTACTTGAACGAGCCAAAACAAAAATGATATCGAAATTTAATGAGTCATTTATGACTAGACAGCGGATTATATGCACTAAAAAACGGACAAAATATGCATGCAAATATGCACTAAAAAACTTGAATATATGCTCTTAAAACTAGAAATATGTATTTAAAATAGAAATTAAAAGTTCAACTTATTTAAATACTACTACTTACTTTTGCCAACAAACACAGCTAAAACATTTTTTTTGTAAAAAGGAAGAAAATCAAAATATTTCTTACTTGAATCTACACATTTCTGAAGAAAAAGCCTAAAACTGAAGTATGATAAATGAGAGAAGAAAAATCATCGCATTTTCCGGAAAGATTTTATTAAACGGAATAATTTTTGTTGCAATACACAACTAAGTGTTTTTCCAAATTTTCAAGGGTGAATTGATGTCGTTGGTCATCAAAGATCATTTTGAAAGCAGAAAATGACCTCTCCACGTTAACCGATGTTATTGGACAAAACTGGTACAATTTCGTACTCATTGGTATTACTTTCTCTGGAAGTTCAGTTCCGTTTCCATTAAGAAAATCATTTATCTTCTTCACTGCTGCAAAACCCGAATTTTTGTTTTGAACGAAACACCATTTTTCTTTTACTTTCTTCCCAACTGAGTCTGGAAGAGCATTGATGCACTGTTGAATTNTAATTGTACAAGGCAATCTATAATGATCACCCTCAATGCTTATTTTTAGAATTCTTGTCTAAAATGAATTCAAAAACATGCACATATCAGGAGATGTGAGTTATTACTTGAACGAGCCAAAACAAAAATGATATCGAAATTTAATGAGTCATTTATGACAAAGGCGTGTTTGAAAACATCAAAATCTATTTGATTCAGAGAATCAGAGAGAAATCAGAGAATCGATTGATTATTATTAAAAACAAAGTTTCATCAGGCAATCAAACTGGTTATGTTTTTTTTTTATCCTATCTTCGATAGTTATCGACTTATTTCGATTGCACTTGTGTTTTTTTTCCACTTAAATATTGATTTATGACACCAAATATGCCTTCTTTTTGTTACATTTTTGAAAAAGATTATAAAAATGCGTACTAAGGGCAGTAATTATGGAGCACTATTTAGCCGTTCGGTGATCAAAATATCAGGTAATCAATGCATACACAACCAATGTCTAAATTTCAGAATGTTAGAATATTTAGCTTTCATTAAATGAATTAATAGTTTTTGTCTTAATAGCAATATATTGGTTCCAACTATGAAAGTAGCAATCACATTAGATTAATTATATAACCTCTAATCTTCTTACGTAAGGCGAAAGGTATAAGAAAAGTTGTCAGTTTAAAATTATCACTTGTGACTACTAGGCTGTGACTTTCTTTTATACAGCACTGCTAATTCACGATAATAAAACAATAATTTTTAAAAATACCATCATTTGCAGGAACAATGTGTCACAGTTTAAGGTCAAAATTAAAAAGACGTCCATACAAATAATTTGTTTAGAAAGGTCTGAGCGGCAGAAATATTTTTTTACTATTTTTCCAGACAGCGGCATCATTGTAAGTAAACTTTGTAACTGACTTTCAAGCTTAGCGAGAACAATTTCTAACTTCTTAAACAGAACTCAGCAGCCGCACATTTCTAACTCTTTCACTGTTTTACTAATTGGTTTTACAAATCACCTGCTCGATATGATTTAAAAAATTTTCGAACCTGTAGACCAAACGTTGTTTTTTCAGAACTTAAAAATCACGTCATTATATGTAAAATTGATTTATTAAATTTTATGATTGGGCATCACTGCATATTACCTAGATTTATTCTCAATCTGAGATATGTTATATAAAAAATAACATCTGAAGTATTTATTTATCAAAAGTTCCTTGAGTAAGCCTTTTTTTAAACAAATATCTGAGTTACATTCGAGAATTTTTTATGAAACTTCTTCTTCTATTGGCATGACAGCCCTTTGTGGGCTGAAGCCTTGCCTAGAACCTTTCTTTGCCCTGATCTTTTCTTTGCGATTATTCCCCAGTCAGTAATTCTTAGGATTTTGAAATTCTCTGCTACACAGTCAAGCCACCTGATCTTATTCCTATCTCTAACTCTAGTTCCAATTGGCTTGTAATTGAAGATCTTAAATGTCAGAGAAGAAGGGTGCATTCGACAGATGTGACCCGCAAGCTTTAAGCGACTTATTTTGATGTTATATATATTAATATCAGCTTCTTTGAAAAGCCTGCATAGTTCAAAATTATATCGCTGTCTCCATAAGTCATCCACATTTATAGCACTGAAAAAAATTTTAAATACTTTTTCTCAAAAACAGCAAGCGGGTCTACATATGATTTAGTTAAAGACCATGTTTCGAAACCATAAGTTAAGACAGGTCTAATAATTGTTTTATACTATAGCATTATTTTTGTCCGTCTTTTATTAATTTTGACTGTAGAAATGCTCTTAAACCTTGAAATCATCGATTTGATGCTATAATACGTTTCTTTATTTCTGTGCTTGCTTATATCGTTTAAGACATTAATATGTGAACCAAGATAAGTAAAATTGTCGTCACTTTAGGTTTTAAAATTTCTTAGAATACAGTTATAGCTCACATTAGTATTACTGTGTGCACTCTACCGATTAATAAAATTTAATTTTTTGCATAATTTTATTATTTTGTAAATATTTAAAATATATAAATGCAGTTACTTTTTAAAAAATGTCTAAATATATTTTAACATTTTTTAAGATTTAAAAAATTGCTAGTCTGTGAATTTGTCACATTCCGAAATGAACCAAAGAATCAATATCAGCTGATAATTACGATTTTAATGATTTAATTTTTTACCCCCTTAAAAAATAAATTGAAACTTCAGGGATACTTTTTTATTCTTTCATAAATAACGTGTACAGGTTTAACTATAACAAAAATGAAACCAAACTAAAAATTTCTAATAAATTCATTTAAATAAATTAACATTGGACTTTTTTTTCCTTTGAGTTTATATTTTTCTACATCTTTTCTTTAAATAAAAAAATAATAATAAACAACTCTACAGCTTGCCAAGACAGTCAGCTTTCCTCTTCTGGATTCATCAGCAGCAATTATTCACTAACCCATCATTCAAAATCATTTTACAACCAGTTTTTAATTCCTAGTCACATTAAAAATAATAAATTCCAAGTATTTCCATTGAAGCCAAAATGAATTACAGCACTATCATTTTTGTTTTCTAGACCGGTGAATACTCCATGCAAACTTTTAGAAAAAAGAGAGCAACAAGTCCCATTCTGATCACTGTAACCGGGAAATCATTAGAAAATGATGATCCAATAATAGCTAAAGTATGGACTGAAACAGCGGAAATGAAAACTAAAGTAAGTACTCATTCATAATATATCACTACACATCAAAAGCATAAACCATGACAAATCTATTAAAGTTTAAAAGAACCAACCACAGTGCTGACGTAAAATGTCCTCAATGGTAGACGGATGATGTATTAGAGTCCCCTTGCTGCCAAGTAAACCGTGGGATGTTTTTGTGGTTTTCCTCCCCATTTAAAGCAAATGTAAATGCAGGTTAGTTCCATCAAAAAGTCCTTCCGTTTCTGCTTATCGCCTTTTCTTGTAATTGAAATTTTTGGGTTATTTCAGTCCCTTTCAATTTGTTCTTTCCGTCTGATGCTAAGTCTTCCTGTAGATCTCAGAACTTTTGGTTCATTGAATTCCTTTTATTCTTAGATTTGCAACAATATTTAGTTGTCGTTTTTTATATATTTACCATAAATCTCTTTATTTGCCCTGAAAATGATACTGTCACAAAACATTATCTGGTTAGCCAATCACAAGTTGATGTATTGCTATGCCGCCAGTTAGTTGAGAAAGTTTCTTTTTGTTCTCCGTGTAACGAATTAAATGATATTAGTTTCATTGATTGAGTGTTTCAAGACAATTTTTCTCCGATAATTGACTCATAACTTCTCGTTTTCATACGCAGTAATATAAAATTACCTTGTTTTTTGAACTTCCATCAGGCAATTAAAAATACAATAAGAGAAAACAGATGCTAGGGGAATAAATGAAAAACTTGAACACACAGAAAAAGAGAACGGATATGAAGGGAATCAAAAACAAAGAAATGCAAAAATAGAAGGTGGAACAGAGAGAATATAATAAAATTCTCTTAACACCTTTTCAAAGACTTACTAGTTATTAGCTAAATAAGTTTGAACTCGCATCTAATCATAACTTATCAACTAGCTTATGGTCAAATGATTCTGCTACATTCATTAGGAAGGGCGGAACACTTACATTAAAGGTTAGTCTTTATACTTATGTATAAGGGCTTGTTTTAATTTTTATTTTATAACCGGCGGTGAACAGCCTATCCAATTTCGAGTTTACAACTTGTAACCTTGAACTCAACCCAGAAGAACTCCTGGATCAAGCATTGGAACCTTCATGGAGAACTTTTCGATGGAACTACTCCACAATTGCGTTACATGGAGTAGAAAAGAGCGAAAAGTTCACTCGGTTAGCGCAACAACAAGGAGATTCTAATCCATGATCCGTCTATCGCTGAGGATATTTTAGGTAGAACTGATGTTTGAGTGAGCTGGGAAGAGAGTATACTTGAGTATACTCCAAGAGAGTATAAGAGAAATTCCGATCATTAGATCAAAAGATATTCAAGGTGATTCTTTTTTTTCCCCTTAGCGCACTATATAAATCATCCTTTCATTTACCAAACTTTAACTCTTTAAAAATATATTATGTCTTGTTTGAAATACATCAAGTTTAACATGATTAATCAAAATTTCACTAAAAATATAAATATGAATTCGAGTATGTAAATATATAAATATAAGTTAAATATAAATAGTATATCGGGATAAATATAAATTTCACGGAAAAAATCTTCAGGAAAAGCTTACAATTAGTTGTCTATGGCAGCGGGTCAGAGATGGTGTTGCGCGGAATTCTGGGATTCCGTAGAAGGCCTACATGGGTTCCGAAAGTTTAAATTCTTTAAACCAGTAATGATTTTTGAAACCTATCATTATATTTATATACAAACAAACCATCATTCATTTGACATTTTAGTTAGTTTTATGAAACCATTTAAATAAAATAACAATTAAAGAAAACTAGCAAATTTGTTTTAATATTTCTTCCAATAACAATATATTAAATATATTATAAAAATGATTTACATTTATAAAAAATTGTATTATTATTTTTCATCAAACGTTTAAATTCAAGATGAAATGCTCAAATCCTAGAATGAAGAATTATGCTTCTCTTATATCCATTTTTAACGTTTATAACAGTTATTTTTCGAAAACAATTATAATTCAACGTACTTTATTCGTTTTCTGGTTATGCCTATACCAAAAACAAATTCACCACTAGTCTAAATGCCACTCTAGACCTGCAATTTTAACTTTTTTGACGTAAAACTTTATAATTTTAAGTCTATTATTGCTAAGACAATGACTGAATAAATATCATTCTTCATATTAAAAATGATCAAAGCAATTTATAGTTAATTATTATTATTATTACTTTTATACAGGTTAGTTTTTTGGGCCACAGCTACTAATTTTATTCATGAACATAGGGTTCCGCCAATAGGTTCGCAATCGTTTAGAGTTCCATATCCGTAGAGAAGTGGGAACCGCTGGTCTGGGGTATAAGTGTCAGTTAAAACTGTTCAGTAAAAATTTAAGTGTTGTTTTAGAAAATATATCATTCTAAGTATATGCTAAATATCTATAAATAAATGATTACATATTAAGAATACATCCTATTGTTTTTAGTTTGTCCAACCTCCCATTCTTATATTTGGAGAAGTAAGGAGAGGACCTCATCCGATTATAAATGCGACAGTTAAAGCTTATGTATACCATCCCAATAATGATGGAGTGTCTGAAATCAATTTACTTGATGATGGACTGGGAAGTAAGTAATGTCATTAAGAAATTAATTGCCGTTAAAGGGTATAGAAATCAGCTACTCTATATTCTATCTAGGTAATGCGCACATTGACCAGGGTAATCCGTTAAGGTGCTAAAATTTGTTTAAGAAATTAAAAACCGTTAAAGGGTATAGAAATCAGCTACTCTATATTCTATCTAGGTAATGTGCACATTAACCAGGGTGATCCGTTAAAGTGTCAAAAATTATTTCATTCTTCACATTTTCTTGCCAGTCAGAGATATATACTTATTATAGATTTTTAAATTAATCTTAATAATATTCTATACAAATTTCATGAATTGATCAATTTCAAATAGACCCCCCCCCTACTTATACATGGATGCTCCTGAGGATAGGAAATGAACAAAGCTGATTCTCGCCTTGGGAGTAAGCCACCCTTAGATTTATACTTATTAGATTATACCCTTAGATTTAGACTGTTCCCAACAAGTTAAATTCCTAAATATAAGCAAAAGGTTTTTAATTTAGCTTTTATTATAAATTTTTAGCTTTACTTTTTATTCTATACGAATTTTTTGATACTGATCTCACGATTTGATCAGTTACTACTGAATGCTACTCCAGCCGCTAACTGCCTCCACTATTCATCTGCCTCCACTATTCATGTGCCAAATAGTCACAGTCGTCCTGTTGCTCAACTCAGATGAAGAAGTGGAGGGTCCACTTCCCGAACAGAGACTCCGTACCAACAAATATTAAGTCAAAAGCATTATTCTTTATACAACAAAAAGTTAAAGTATGTCGCTTCAGTTAGAATTGTTGCTAGAGTAAGATTTTCAATCGAAATTTGTAATTCTGGAAAGGTGCCCATTACTTTGGTAAAATGAGGAAAGCACTTTAATGGAGCTTATCACTTAATCTGTCCATTATCTGATGTAAACATTAATGACTAACGAGTTTTAGACGTAATATTTCAGGACTCACCATTGTCTTATTAAGTTTCAATGACAATGAAAAATAATTTCAGTTTTGGGAACAGGCGAAAGATAATTTAGCTATGCATAATATTTCTGAACAGCAGGGGGGGGAATTTAATCTTCACTTACACTTTACAACCAGATGCGTCCATGTACCCTGGAGATTTCATCCATTTATCATTGTCTATTCAGCTATGATGGAACAATCATAAAAGTTAGAAATAACACATTTTTAAAAATGTATATACATTTGAAACGAGGCTATTGTCTATAAAATTACTATACATATTATTATTTTCTTACTTAAATTATTTATCATTAAATAATTTATTTATTTTTATTATTAAATAATTAGGTGGAGACATAACAAAATTTGATGGAATATACAGTCGGTATTTCACGAATTTCTCATCAACCGGATTTTACACAGTTCGAATAAAAGTTACTGGAGGTATTGATACAAGTGCTGCAATTCACAAAGGTAATAAAACTGAAAAATAGATCATTTCTGCGTTTTTATATACCTTTTGTTATGTTATGTTATGTTATGTTATGTTATGTTATGTTATTAGGTAGTACAAGTTTCGTTATGTTATTAGGTAGTACAAGTTTCGTTATGTTATTAGGTAGTACAAGTTTCGTTATGTTATTAGGTAGTACAAGTTTCGTTATGTTATTAGGTAGTACAAGTTTCGTTATGTTATTAGGTAGTACAAGTTTCGTTATGTTATTAGGTAGTACAAGTTTCGTTATGTTATTAGGTAGTACAAGTTTCGTTATGTTATTAGGTAGTACAAGTTTCGTTATGTTATTAGGTAGTACAAGTTTCGTTATGTTATTAGTTTGTACAAGTTTCGTTATGTTATTAGTTTGTACAAGTTTCGTTATGTTATGTTTATATACCTTTTGTAATTTGCTATTTATGAAGGCAATTTCAAAAGCTAAATCTCATATTTTCTTCTTATTTTTAAAAAAAAAAATTCCTTTTTATAATGTCCTTCTCTTTTTTTGCTACCCTTGTAAAAAAAGCTTATTTTTCATTAGATCCCTTTAGGATAAACTTCGGTTAATTTTTGTACGTAACCGTCAATTTTGGCGATGCTTTTTTGTTGACACTGTGACAGATTTTGCATGCCCATACCATACCAGTACCAGCACCCCACAAAGTTTCTGAAAAAAGCATTAAGCATCATCTTCCACCTTTTCAAAAAGCTCAATGGCATTGTGTTGAGACGTTTTTTCAAGTTACTGAACAGGTTATAGTCATTGGGTGTTAAGTCAGGATAAAAACCCAGATAGCAAATTAAGGTTTATTTTCACTCAGCAAAAACCTTTTAATGTGAACCTAAAAAAGTTTGTTATGCGGTTTACGTGTAAATCTTTTAACCTTAAAACGAGATATGTGACAATCTGCTCTATTCTACGCACATTACCCAAATCCAAAACCTTGGAAAACAACCTTATATATAAGACCTTTGAGTCGAGGTTGACTTATGGTTTTCGAGTGTGAAAAAATCCTTTCATAAAGCTAGTTTCAAGGTGAAAATAATCTTAAATCTAGGTCATTATAAGGTTTCTTTTCGCAGCGTCTTGTATGCTTAGCTGAAATCCACCTTGTCTTGAATTTTTAATGGGCAATGCAATTTGATCCTATCCCTGGTGTGACATCAGATAAACCTCAATTGTTGACATAAGTTACCATTTTTCCTAAGTGGCAATACTTTAAAAAAAAAAAAAAAAAGCTCTAAAAAATAATTTTTAATCCTTTTAGAATGAAAGGATTGAAACTACAATATTTTTGCTTTATTGAAAAAAGGTTTTTAGTACAAATGTTTTCATGACAATGTTGCTCGTGACAGGTTGCAGTAAGGTTACATGCTTTCTGTAATGGTAAGTGCCGGATAATGTTCCATAGAAACTGTTGAAAGAGAGATACGGGCATTGTCGTAGAGAAAGCCTACGATTTTGCCTGCCATTCCTCTTCTTCAAAGCAGAATCTACTGCTTCCGCTATTTCATCACTGTTTCACTATTACCTGTGGTTTCGGGGACCTTAAAGTGGACCTACTTCGAAGACGAAGTGAAAAACCTGTTTCAACGTTTTCGTTGGGCCACGGGTGAGAAACTGGTATGACAGTGGCATACAAACCCTATAACTCAATCTAAAAAATTGCATTGAGATTGTAGTGGCGATTATATAGAAAACAGGCAAATGTTAATCTATAATTATGAAAATTAATTGTAAATATTATAGTTGGAGAAAATAGGAGACTTCATTTTTGCTGTCCACCACAAAGACATGCTGTTCTTCTATTATTCCCTTGCAGGTCCTTCATCATACTGCTGCGGATCATTCTTTCCATCTACCCAACAAGAAAGTGTTACTCAGTTTGCAAGAGAAGCTGGACCAGCTACTTTTGAAGTAACTTCAGTTCCGAGGAATGATCCATATCCACCCTCAAAAGTCACAGACCTAAATATCACACTATCTTTTGATGATGATCTATACATATTGCAATGGAGTGCAGTTGGAAGCAATTATGATCAAGGAGTAGGTAAGTAGCCGCAATCTGATGTTGTTTAAGTACTCAATAAAGAAAATTTTGTAAAGTTAAAGTTGCTAACTTTTGAACTTTATTGAGGAAAGCTGTTGTAAAGGATATNTCACCATAGCAACTCATGCAATGACAGAGATGCCAACTGCTCCGGACACGCCAAAATAATTTAAAAAACGGTAAAGAACTACAAACTAAAATTTGCAAATATTTGAACATTTTTGTTAATTTTTTTAAAGGTTTAAAATAACGCAAATGTATAGAAGTGGTGAATATATAAGCCTGCGATTTATTTAGAAATAGTGGTGGATAACAATCTAATAAATCGAATTTATTAAACAAAGAATCACAATTAATAAACTACCACTCGAAAATATTAATTAGCTGTCCGGAGCAAGTTGGCATCTCTGTATATATATAGTAAACTAAATAATAACTTTTAAGACATAACGATTAATTAGTTTATATTAATAAATACTACTTGTGCAAAATGAAAGACTTTTTTTCTTGCAATGTTATTTTTCATGTTGAATATGGTGTTAAGCAAATGTTTATTTTATTTTATAGCTGCTGCTTATGAAATAAAATTATTTCGTGATAGATCTTTGGTAAGACACCGATTTTTTGATTCTGGATTAGAAGTGTACAATGAGACAATAGAAACCACAGAAAAAGCATCTTATGGTACTCAACTCTACCATACATTAGCACTTACGCAACCTTTTGAAAATGGACTCTATTACATAGGGATTCGAGCAGTAGATGAAGCTGGCAACTATGGAGAACCTTCGAATGTTATTTCCATATGGCTGCATACGAGAGCCAGAAGCAGATTAATCGAGTGTGGACCTGTGGCGTTACCCTTCAATTTCGCCTCAAGAAATTATTTTTCATGCTCATTTCTTTATTTGTTCATCATTTATGTTCTATTCAGCGTTATTTTACTGTATAAATAATCATTAAGGAACTATTCATTTCGTTAAAATAAAGATCATGATTGCTTTTTTTTAATGATACTTTTGTTCCTTTTTTGTGTTGAAAAATCATCACACCATTTGTTTAAAAGCAAATTACACTATCATTATGTTTTACTCTAATGAATTCTAACAGATTTTTAAAAATCAAACAATTAAAATCATGATTTATACTACCAATCATAATTATTTGATTTAAATCAATAACTTCTTGACAGGATATAGAAGTCACCCCTTTAATTACTCTAATAGTGTTTAATTGCAAACGAAGCGAAAAAAATTTGGGCTCATACCTTTAATTCCGCTTTTAAGGAAAGGGGCATAGCTTGCAATGCTTTATTAGACAATAAGTATAAAGAAAATTAACATTAATCCAGGAAACAAAGTTCAGAAAACCTCAATCATTTTTAAAATATTCCAAATTTCATGTGTGCAGAATACTCTTTATTCACTGCCAACAATAGATAATTTTAAAATCTTTAGTATGAATGAAACTTAGAAAATTTTTCCCTTTAGATTAACCCCTTCCTTCTCACTCCCGTGAAAATGACGGGGTGAGTTTTCGCTCGCTATTTCTCACTCCCGTGATATTGACGGGCTGGAGTGTTCAGTAGTAATGTGCCAATAAGAGTAAAACTAATTCATTTCTTTTACCCGGAAAACATTTTATTTCTCATTTTACACACAATATAGCAGTACCATTATATTTTTAAGGTAATTGTAAATAATTAGAATATTTTAAACTAGATACTAGCACTAATCAAATACGTGTATTTGGCAAAATAGACACTTTTATGACCGTTTTCTTGAAAATTAACCGATCGATAAGAGGTTAACATATCCGCATATATACCAAGGAACTAACATCAAGTGATTAACACTTCAAAACATGTTTATGCTTTTTTGCTGTGCGAGAATTTTTGAAACCAAGATATAATAGACACCAAAACTTCAAAAGGAAAATAAAATCCTTGCCGTACCACATTAGTTATTTTTCCTCGTTTGGTGGCCAATACCATTATTATTCGAACTAATTTTCTGAACGGCCAGTGTCATAATCAAATACTAAATTAAAAAAAATAACATACTATATCATTTTTACTGAAAGCCTACTTAGGGTTAAGGCACACAATACAGGAAAAAAAGCAATATAATTTTTAATATTTATTATCTATACCAATGGAAATGTCTTGAAACTAAAAGTACATGAAAAAATACATGCGATATATGCAACTTTTGCGTAAATACTGCAATTTAAATTTCTTTTTTTTTAATGAATTTGATTAATTAAATTTTTTAAACGAAGCAGAGCTGGAACTAGAATTGGAAATTTGGGAATAAAGAATGACTGATGCTCAAAATAAAATTTTAAGCTATTTCTTATCTTGGATAGATATCTTCTATATCTCTCCAAATTTCAGAATTATTTAACATTTTTTTTAATTGTTTACAGAACGGGATTGTTTTAAAAATAAGATTATTTGAAAAAATCGNTTTTTATTAAGGAAAAAATCCACATCAGTACAAAAAATATAAAAATTACTGACATTTGCATCCCGTATAACATCATACTAGGAATTTTCCTTTTAAAAAAATGTGTAATACGCCGCATATTGACACATATTTTACGAATCAAAAAATATAAAAATTACTGACATTTGCATCCCGTATAACATCATACTAGGAATTTTCCTTTTAAAAAAATGTGTAATACGCCGCATATTGACACATATTTTACGAACCGTAGTAATGTCACCGTAATCAAATACTCCTATATAATCTAATAAAGTTTCAACAGATTGTAGAGCAGCAGAAATTGTATTTCCCTCATTTATTACATCTTCTGCATCTGTTACTATCATCACTATTTGATTTAACAACCTAACGATGTCTTCACCAGTCAAATACTGGAAGCCAAGCTCATATGCATCACTTTGAAACCTATCTTCTAATTTTTCTTCATCAAGAATTTCCTTTTGCTCGTTCGAGAATACTGTTATCAGATTCTTCTTGAATATCTGAAGAAGGTTATGCAGCGGTATGATCTTTCTCCACGATCGTGATAACATAGACGATTTTACCTTTGATTGTGCTGCTGATATTCCATATACTGCAATCCAATAACGAACATTGCTTTCCAAAGATTTGGTAGTATAACTTTATGAATCAAATTTTTAAAATTTTGAAACTGTTTCTCTTTAAATTTTTTGTGCGACTCCGGAATGAGCACGGATAATCCGCAAACTGGATAATCCGCGCACGGGTAATCGAGTGTGTACTGTACAATAATCATGTCTTATTACAAAATTAAAAATGACTGAATATCGACGATAATTGAATTTTTATATTTGTAGAGAGCGCTGATCCATATGAACAAAAAGCAGAAGGTTAAATTGTCCTTAGGTCATCACGAAACGGGATTTATTCTATACTAGATTCTCTCTTATTTTTTAATTCAGGGTTGCCAACTCACTAGGTATATTGAGAAAATTTATGTTATTTAGTTAAGTTTATGTTTTAATGTGTTATTCTTGTTTGGTTTAAAATTATTTTTCACACCACTACATGTTTGAAAGCATTAGTTTTAATTTGTCTACCAATTTTTAAAATAACAATTTGTTATAATATGGCTGTAGACCCTAATGAAACAAAAACACAATTCTCGCATATGAAAGGCAGCTCTGTTGATTGCTAACAAATCGAAACGAACAGAAGGTATAGTGCTTAACGACATGGAACAAAATAACACATTAAGTGTTATTCTAACTGTATAGCGATGGTGTTTTCTACACTAGGAAGCGCTGCAATAATACTTCCGGGTCCTGCAACAAAACTTTACTGCTGACAGCCTATACTTCCGGGTTGCAGTTTTTGGTGCGTTGTGAAGCCATTGAGTTCACGACGTGATCATAGCGTTTTGAGACACTCTATAGTAGTTTTTCTGGTATACATGTATTTCTTACAAGATTTATTACTTGTGTTTAAAAGAAGAATCGTTATTTCAAAACGTAAAAATTATCAATTGAGAAAAGAATCGTTACACCTCTTACCTTTTAAACAAAATACCAATTTCGAAATTTAAACCTAGATAATAATTTATAAAAGGAACTTAATCTCTCAGCTCGAACAATATGCTAACACTAAATTATGATGGTGCACGGCTTGCAACAAGAGCAAACAGTAATAAACAAGTAAAAAGAGGCCAAATCAGAACTGCTGAAAAAGCGAATTCTTTCTAAATCGAGCAACTATGTGACTTTTTTTAACAATACATCTCTAAATAACTAAAAACAAATTTTTACTTCCAACTCACCAGAATGACTTAAAATCTTATGAAATACAGCAGATTTGAGATTTAGAATTATATAATTTATTTCTTTTATTAAAAACAAATTTATCGGTTTGAAAATATCACCTTGCAGAATTAGCTGTAGTAAGCAGCTGTATACTTTGTAACCGGAATTGGAGCAGGTCAAGAGCTCCAGATTGTTGTTGTTTAGATTTATATTGAAAATACCATCCATTCGATCAATACACCTCCGATCAAGTCCCGCAGTCGACTGATTGTTAAGACACGTTTCTCAGCAGATCACCGAAATTAAGCATCACTGGCTGCGGTCAATGTGCGGGTGGGTGACTACTTGGATCAGTCTACGTAGGGACCTAGGATGTGCGGTATTTGTCCTCGTTAAACTGTTTTACCGTAAAGTGCTCGACATCGCGTGCAGGTCGTCTGGCTACCGAAGCAGGGGTGCCATCCCCTCTACAGAGGATCAAAATTGTGATGACATGTCTTCGGATCATACTCAGGGATGTTTCCCAGACCGTCGCCAATAACCCATTGTGCAGCTCTAGTGCGGCGTAAGTGAATTGCAGCAACACCTCCGATCACCAACAAGAGAGAATGGGTACCTGATTGGTGAAATATGTCTCGCTACATCTGAACTTCCTAGGTGTGTGTGTATTTTTAGAAACTTCGTGCAAGATTATAAAACAAAAATCTCGCGCATGAGCGAATCGCATTTTGTGCGATCGCATATGCGACTTGAATGCTGTGAAACAGTTCCATTATTTTCCTTCTAAAATCTCTCCAATCAGGTACTCCCTTTCTCTAGATTATGATCAGAAATGTGTATCTCATCAAACGTGAATGGTTCCTTAGCTAAGAAATTCTAGAATAGTGATTGAGCATATTTAAGTAAGCATTTTTACTGCCTGTACTTTTTCCTCGTGTAAGGAAATTGCCAGCAGCAAGAATGCTTCTTAAAACCATTACTTTTCAGTCGTTCACTCTTGCTTACTTTCGGTTAGACAAAAATAGAGAGGTAAAGGCTTCATGGAAAATTTATAAATAAACAACATGAAGTTTCTTGAATTTATAAAAAAATAAAGCTTTTGAATAATTTATACTTCGGCAGCTTCGAAATTCATACATTTTTACATATATATTTAATTTCATTTTTCAAATCATGCCTCTTTTTGAATTCAATGTTCTACTAAAAGCATTGCCTAGAGTGAGTATTACCTATAACTATTTATACTCAAAATCCAAGTACGATTATTTGATTTATTCTGCATTGTGTGTTGTTGGGGGTTTGAAAATCTTAGTCAATTGTCTTAAAAAGTTGAGTATCTTTTCACGTTCAAACATCAAGAAATTGGAGTTGGGACTTCCGACAACAACTTACAAAATGTACTATTGTATTTCTCATTGCTTAACTGATAATCAGATCTCCTTTTGAGGAATGCTGAATATTAAAATATTGTAATATTGATCACGATAAAAGAAGATTATAGACTGAAATTTCATCAGTGTATCTATATATATTTATCTAGAAAAATAAATTAAAATTCAAAATAAGTTATTTTAATACTTAATGTGTGTTATTTGGAGAGATTGCCATATCGTGATTTGTGGCAGAATAATCGCCAAGTCTTCTCAAATTCCTGGCAGCAGCCCGTTAGAAACTAAAAAAAACATCACAGAAAGGGACCAATTCAAAGAGGTATGGGATATTTCTGTATTGTGATCTGTAGCGCCAATTACAATTGGCAAGGTGCTAAATAGTTTAAACGTGCAATTTTATTTTTTTTTAAAAAACCTGTAGATTTTTGCCCGAGGGGGTGGCTATGAGTTATACCTTTCGATGGTCCCTTTCTGTGATGTTTTTTTTTAGTTTCAAGCAGGCCTCTGCCCGGAAGTTTCCAAGATTTGGGGATTATTCTGCCACAGATTACTATACGGAAATCTCCACTTTATGTCCTTAATAATTATTTCTCATTAAAATGTTTATTTACATTATTTGATGATAGGTTTTGCTCAAAGTACTCAAATGGAGTAAAAAAATGCATTAGACACATTTTGTATTTAAATTATATTTTTAAAAAGATAAATTATAGGTAAAATGTTATTGCAGCGCAATGTTACCAATTCACATTTCTGTACTTTCTAAATAATCTACTTTATTATGAAAGTGCTACAGAGGTACATGCATAAATAGTATGACTGCAAACTTGATATCAAATAATCAATATTTTTAGAATAATTTGTGTATTTTGTTGTACATTTTGTATGTGTTCCCAACTTTTATGTAATTTCTGTCCTCAGTGTGAAAAGTGCTAAAAGATTCTTTAGTGTGAAAAGTGCTAAAAGTGTCCTCACTGTGAAAAGTGCTAAAAGATTACTCTACTATATTATTTATTACAGACTGAGATTACTGCTGCCTTAAAAAGAGTTGGTACTAGATTATTAGATGAAGGTGTAATCATACATAAAATAGAAAATCTTGGGCTCAAAGATTTACCATATCGTATGATACAAGATGGGCAACCTTTCTTCAAAGGCCAGTAAGTAAAGTAAAATATTTAACTGGATTCTGATTAATTCTAGAATCTAAATTGTTATTTCTTTTACATATATATCAGGGCTCGAAATGAACGGTGTTCCGTTGGTCCGTGACCGCTAAAATCGAAGTCGGACCAGCATAAAATAATAAACAGTGGTCCGCCGGACCACCATCCGCCGCAGCCGATCTCCGTTTTAAAAAAAAAACTAGCGTGCGAGATCTCCGTAAAAAAAAATTTAAAAAATAAATAAAGCTAGCGAAGTTAAATCTTGTTTCGCGGATGCGTCACATGGAGAGTTGCTGAAGGAGAGAAATAGGGGAGGTAGCGGGGTGGGTTCATGACGTGTACCATCCGTCGCAGCCTCCGTGAAAAAAGGGAAGCAAGCGCGCGTGAGGAAGGCGAAGTTAAATCTTGTTTTGCGCATGCGTTACATCGGCGCTGAAGGAGAATAATAGGGGAGGTAGCGGGGTTGGTTCATGACGTCATTGTCAATCGACGACGCGGCCTGATGATGTTTCATTATTTTGGGCTCTCTCTTCGTAAAAATTTATGATTTTAAAAAAAAAATCATGATTTTTTCAATCAAACATTTTAATTTTTTTATTTTTTATTTGCAGCTAATAGGAACGCGTAGATGGGCTAGTAAAGTTTTGTGCGGACTAGTAAAATGTTTTAGTTACTGGTCCTATGGACCAGTAATTTTTTTTAAAAAATTTCTACCCCTGTATATATATGTACAGGTAGTCCCGTATATGTTGCCTCAAACATCTAGTAGCAGTTAGGTTTGCTATGCAAATTGCGTAGCAAACCTATAACCAGAAAAGCTATTGTGCGCTGCTAGAGGTGCTTCCTTAATATGAACTGTTTCTTTGTGTCTCTTTAAACAGTGCCTTTGTTTTACTAAAATATCTTAACTCCATCTTTGTTAATTGTAAAAATTATTGTCAAAAACTGTATTCAAATAGTCTCAGAATTAGCAATTTTGTTATAATTCAATAATTTATAGATCTTGTCAAATTAGTTGCCAAAACATTGAATTGTGCTAAAACAGTTTAAACTGAACCTATTTGAATGCAATTTTTAATAATAAGAAGAAAGCATAAATAAAAATAATTTAATGTTTATGTAAATGAAAGTAAAATGTTCAAAGCTTTATGGAGTAACGGTTCATAATAGAAAAGCAAACTTCAATGTATACATTGACATTTCTGAACATTGGTTTCCTGTGCAAAAATCGTTACATAATGTGTCTACCTTCCTTAAAAGCTTGTTACAACATTTACAGAACAGTTACTGCATACACTACCCTACAATAATTGAAAAAATGCTGCCAGGATTTGACAGTTTTTTTTCCTTTAAATTTCTTAAGAAATACTTTGAGGATTATTTCATGCTTTCAGAAATGTTTTGTTTAGCAATTTCTCAAACTTATCACTAAAGTTTGACACTTTCTTAGGTTTGTAGGATCAGCAATAAATTTTGAATGAGAAAAAAAAGATGTTTTTGAACAAGCTATGTCAAAAAAATAAAGCAATAAACTTCTTTTGATTACTTTCATTATTGTTGTCAATTAAATTAAACGAAATTTTGAGTGCAATTTTTAATTAAAAACAAAATTACTATTTTAAAATTTGAAAAAAAGTTTTACAAATTGTACAAGATATGAGCCTTTTAAGTAGTTTTTTCATGCTGTGCATGCCCGGAAAACATTTTTAAAGAAATTCACACATTTGTTGTGAATCATATTTGTTTGCAATCATATTTGGTCATTTTGGTTGTGAATCTAATTTGAAATCCACTTCTGAAGTCAATAATGCAAACTTCAAGTGCCCCAGGTTCGAATCCCAGCAATGGCTTGTAAATATGGAGTCTGCTTCGGGCTTGCACCCATCCCAGTGTGAATGTAAAATAGTCAGGTTTATAATTACAAGTCACAGTAGTTGAACATTAATACTCATAAAACCAAAAAAAAAAGAAAAAAAAGTGGATTGACTGTTCAACACCAGTTATAAAATAAGGACAATAATATTGTGCAGGAAACAGATACTATAATCAGAAAATTATTTGGGACTTGTTTCATATTTTTAAGTGGGAAACCAAGGATGATGAACCACACTCAGTTCGACACTAAGCAAATTTGATGTATAACAATATCAAATTGATGAGATTGATGCTTTCATAAGATCACCAATGGATATTAGAAGAATTATGAAATGATAATGACAGATCATTCACTAAAATTTGTTTATTTTTATTAAAGTTTGTCCTATTTTATGCTTCACTCATTAAAGTATATCTCACTTTTGCTTCAATTTTTCTCAAACAAAGCTTCTTACTGACTCGTCTTGGCAGCCTTATTGATGATGTGAAAAGTGTATTATAACTTTTTAGCTGTTTACAGTCATAATTTTATTCTAAAAACTATTACAAAACTTCCTAGACAAAATCATACATTATTTTTAAAATGAATCAACTCAAAATATTTTGCTGAATATGAATTATGTATTTAATATACATATCAATTAAGCCCATGTTCTATTTAATTTAAACTGCACTAAGTGTCAACAAACTTTTGTCTTGTGTTAGCATTCAATATTCTTTATGTGTTTTAAAAAGAATTCATATCAAGAGAAATAAAAGATTAGCATATAGATACAGAATATAAGATTTTAAACAATTCAGAATTTACTCAGCCATGAAACTTCTATCATATTACACATGATTTTACGACATCTTGGCTTTAAATTTGTGTGAATAACAACCAAAAAATTTTATCTTCGTTTGAGAATACTGGATCATATCATGTTATTTATCTGTCCACCGCACCGTGGCAGAATCGCTGCGACATTGTTGCATAATGTTCCGAAGTTCTTGCAGAAATATTTTTCTTTTGAAAAGTAAAAAATTTTACTTTTCTTTTTTACAGAAATTTACATGTAATATTTGAATCATGCATAATAATCACTTTTTGACTCTCTCAATTTACGCCGGTACTATCGCAAATCGATGTATGTTTCAATTGTATTTTCGGCAGCTATTAATATTGATTTTTACGTGGTTTTTAAACATACCGATATATTTCAAACAATATGAAAAATTCGAATCGTTCATTTGAGTATTTATTTTTTAAGGCAATAATTCTATCGAAATTTTCTTACTTATTGCTATTGATTTCTCCATAGTTTTTAAATCCGATGTTTTTATACAATATCATTTCTTACAAAAACCTAATCTCGAAACTACGGAATGTATACTTTTTAATTATTTATTTATTGTGATGATTATTTACAAAATGCGAAGAGGTAAATAATTTGTACAACCCCTCCCCCCCCAACAAAATGTGAGAATATCACCCATAATATTAGAGTAAAAAAATTATTAAGTGTTCAATTAAGAAAAATTGAAGTCTTTTTTTATTTTTTAAAAAAAACACATCATATTTGTTATTTTAAATTAATAACATACATGTTTTTTATTATTAAAATAATCTTGCGGAAAGATATTAGTGCTAGAGAGTTTAGTCGCAGATAGCTCAAAAAAATTCTGCTACAAGGATCCAACACATGTATCAATCATCATTTTTATCTGATTTATATTTATATAAAATTCTAAATAAAGTAAAATCAATAACAAAAAAAATTTTGCTCACCCAATGGTTAAATAGCATTAACACTTAACAGTAAGTGTGCATCGCAAGAACTATGGTAGGAAAATGTAAAAGAGCTTCTCAACTGACCTAAATAAGATTGTTGTTAATCTATAACATTTCTTTGCTTTTTAGCCAATTTATTTTTTACTTCATGGGTTCAATGAACAGTTTTAAAAATGTTGATGATATCTGTAAGCGTGACTTGGACCTTCTAAGATTTGGTTTTGCCAATGCCTATAAAGATCTAAATCAAGACTGCAGTCTGCAAGAAGAACTACTGCCTCCTGCTTATCGAGAAAGTGTTCAGAAAATGATGAACCAAGGAAGAAGATATAAACAACTCACTAAACGACATTATAAACATGAAAGAGACTATTCATTCTTTGATGTGTATATGTAGTCAACAGTAATTGTAAACCCGATGTAAGTGTAAACCTCATCTATTATCTTATAAAGCAAAAATAAATAGCAATATTATAACATTTAAAGTGACTTATTTCACTGGCTTTAACCTTGTCTCAATTGTGTATAACATTAAAACCAACCCAGATTATCAATTCCTTTGTTATCCAATACCTCTTTCGACACACTTTAAATGCGTTCCGACAAATGCTTCATCATTATTTTAGCTGTCACCTGATTGATTCATTTTTGGACCTTGTGACATTAAAACCTACATTTAATTACTGCAGTGGCAATTCCAAAAATTTACCATTCGCTACAATAATAGAGATGTTTAAGCTGGCATTGCTAGTTTACTTACCTGCTTACTAAAAATTTATCAATGATCAATCAGTAACAAATGGTAACCAATTGGAAGACATTTCATTTCAAAATAGTGTAAACAAACATTGTTCCATCATGTGAGTGATTTCTTATAATCTACCTAGTGATTTTATTAAGACTCTGACTGAGGTATCTCGATCAAACAGAAAACAAAATATTATCAATGAATTTTTTTATTGATGTTGTACATTATTTAAAATACACTTGTAAGAATTTTTATTAAACTTCTTTTTTAGTCATTAATTGTTTTAATTAGTTTACTGTTTATATACTCTTAAAATCTATTTAAATTACCAACAATTTCTCATATTAATCAACAATTTCTCATTTTTCCAACATACCCTTGTCGGATAATCAGTGCTATATTGTTAATTCTTTGAAATAAATTATGATAAACTGACAAAAGATAGTAAATTATGCAACTGTTCAACAGAGCTTAAATCCATTGTTTATCTATATTTTTCATTTCAATATGTAAATAAATAAACTTTTTTTAGGTTGATAGAAATTTATAATTGCAGCCCACACTGACACCTCTTCTAAAACCACTTCTTAACTTTTCATAACATATGTTTTGTAAAATGTGTACATTTTTATTTCGGAACTAGTTAGTGAGATATATTAGACATAACACTTCTTTGAAAATTCGGCAACTAATATATCATTAATTCCAAAAAAAAAATTTTATTTCAATTTATACATCTGTTATTATGTTCCTTATGATGTTTAATTTGTCAGATTTACTCATGCTATAAATTTTCAAATACTATAATCAAAATAAACTTAAGTGAGCTAGATAACTAGGCAAACCTGATACTGCAAGACAAAATTTTATGTAAAATGCCAAAAAAATACCAAAATTTTAAAATATATGTTTTTTTAATTACAATACATAGAATAAATTGTGAAAAGGATATGCATTTATAAAATATTCCATAAGTATTTCTCATTGAACTTTTAAATTCAAAATAAATGAACCAAAATCAAGAATAAAGAAATAAGTTTCTCCGATAACTATTCTCAACAGTGCAAGTTTTTTTAAAACAATAATTCAGCTTCTTTTTATTCATTTTCAGCATATGCTTTAGTCTTTTTTTTTTTTTGGTTTATGCTATGAACTTTTGCTACTGTGTTCAGTAGCTACTGAACTTTTGTTTATACTGTCAGGGCTCCACCAAAAGAGGCTCAATTGATTAAGATCCCTCTAGAAATAACTTTAATAAACAATACAGTATAATGCAAAGCTGCGTAACAACCATAAATAAAAACTTTCCATCTCACCCCCAAACTCAGCATTAAAATCACGTGGAATGATTGATGATCTAATCAGTGATTTTTAGAAGTTCATTGAAGTAAGAGGTGGATACTAACCTCCTCTGCTTCTGTACCACTTTTTTTTTATACACAATACCAACCCTTAGGGGACCGGTTTGCATTATGGCTATGAAGCCAACCTTTTTTGTCTGCATATTCTTTGTTATATATATTAGTTTAATGGTATAAGAACTAGTTGTGGAAATCAGTGTTCTAAAAATCAGCCTAGCACCGAAAAAAAAAGGAAAAAAATTTAAAAAAAATTCACTTTGGTCTCACATTACCATGGATTCTGAAAAAAAAAATAGGCAAATCCCCCCTAAGATTTCAATTAATTTTTAGTTTATTCTATTTGGAGATTACCATATGACAAATTTATGCGATTTGAAATAATTCACGGTTTCAAACAAAAATCAAAAACTATGCATAGTTTTTAAAGAAAAACACTCCATAAAGCTTTTATAAAAACCAGAGTTTTCTGTCAAATCATTAGTTGGGCATTTTCTGTGAAGCATTTGCCTGGGAACAATACTACAGAACAGTTTCATGTAAAAACACCACTTTCAACTCTTCATTATTTTACCCCTATTCCTCCCATTGAAAATGAAGTTGTTTTTTTAATATAGAGAAGGGTAGTTTGATTATCTAATATAGACAAGTATGTGCCTAAATAAATTTAAAAGTAATACATTTACAAAGTTTTAAACAGACAAAATACACTTTTTAAATTTTTTTTATTTAAAATGCCATATAAAACAAACAATTCTTTTGTGACAATTTAATATCTTAATGGAATGAATTAATGTGAACACAAAAATATTTAACATTACAATAGTAAAAATGTAAATTTTGATTAAATAGCTAAAATATAATTTTTTAGCACAGTATTTCTCATGAAAATCAGTGATTCTTTACAAGAAAATTACATTTTTATCTAAAAAAAATATGTTTATCCTATATTAACATTGGCAATTTTACAGAGTGTTGCAAAGAAATGGAATAAGTAATTTCAATGAATAAATAGTTATAAAAATTTGGCATTTACAGAGTTTCATATTTTACCTATGCACAGTTCATGTTGCCAATTATAGAGTATTTACTTTTTGAACAACTTGGAACATAGAGAGGACATCAGTCTTATAAAATCTGTAAACATTACATAGTTTACATATGACGTGTGTTTCCAAAATTGATACCACTCTGGGTAGCACCTTTGTTAGATCCATACTGTAGGCTTATAACACCTTGTCCAGCCTTCAATTGCTCATCAGAGAATTGGCGCACATTGGCCTCTGCTTCTTTTGGTCCAATACTTCTAAATCCAAATTTAGATGCCTGTTGAGAAAAAAAATTTCGTATTGAATTAGAAATAACTAACGTTACTACAGCGTGTCCCAACTAAATAAAATCATCTTAATTTTTTCTTATGACTGGTTGCCAGGAAAACCAATTAACAAACATGTACCTATATTATTAAAGTATATCTAAACATATATTTACAAGGAGTTCCTCACTTCCTGCCACTTCTGATTATAGCCAAAAGATAACCATATTTTTATCTAGCTTATTTGTGATGTTGTAAACCATTTACCTATCCCAGGAGGACAATCGAAGAAATGTTAAATTCTGTTTCAGTGATGACAATCTTAATTTCTGCCACAGAGTGATGCTGCTTTATTGTGCATGGCGGTAGCCCTCCAGATTTTCTTGGGGGAGAAGGTCGTGAGAAAAGGCAGGACATTCATAACATGTACCTTATTATACGAAAACCACCTATATTATAATTTTGCCGCATAAATGAAAACATTCTCTTGCTGGAAATTCAGACTTGGGTTGATAATTTTTTTTGTAATCAGTAGCTTTCATACGTCTTGAGATACATCCGTTTTGGCTTTAGGCTCTGTTATCAGTTAACTTAGCTATATCATGAAATAAAAAATTGACTAGTTGCCCATTGGAGGAGACTACTAACAAAAACAATGATTGATATCTTTTTTTTTTCCTTCTCATTTCCACAAGTTTACCAAAAACTTTCTAGTTTATTAACAATGTATAAAATATTAATTTTTTTTCTTTGAAGTGAAAAAACAAAAAGTAATCAGAAATTTTTTCAAGTATTACAAAAGAAAAAATTCTGACTATTGATTTGAAAATTGTTTCTCAACTGCTGGTCCGTGGATTAAAATTTTATTAGTACAGTACAGAACCCGTTATCCGGAAATCAGAAAACCAAAAAACCGGAACGAAATTCCATATATTTTCTCGCCATTTTTAAAAAAAAAATTTTTTTTTCCTCATAAGATTTCACGATTTTTCTTTCTTTTTTTAAAGATGTTTACCTTACCATCATTTTGGAAATAATCATTAGTGTATTACTTCATCGTTTTTTTCTTATTTTTAAGATTATTTCCAATTTTTTTTTTTTTAGTTGGGTTCAACAATAAAAAAACTGCTTTTTGTAGCGATTCAGAAAACCGGAAAAATCAGTTATCCGGAATAGCGATGGTCCCGACCGTTCCGGATAATCGGTTCCCTACTGTATTAATATAATTTTTCTTTCATATTTAAAAAAGTTTTAGCTCAAAATATTTTTACAGTAGAGAGTATTCGAATGATCAGAAACAAACTGGTAAAAAAATTGTGTAACTGATTTAATTTTGAATATGTAAAATTATACCTTCAGTCCAAATTATTAACTTTACCGGTCCGTGATAAAACACTGAAATATTTTACCAGTCCTTTGCGTAAATCAGGTTGAGAAACACTGGCTTGAAATATCTGTTAGACATATTCATAGAAAGATGAAAAAAATATAGTCTCCAAATGTTTCATTCATTTTCAGTAGAAATGGGTCAATCTTAATGAAAATTTCTCATAAAAACATAAGAAAGTGAGGGGAGAAATGACCATTTCTTTTATGAAATATTTCTGATGACTATGATTATTTATCTATTTAGTTGATAACTAAGAAATATTTTTCTAATAACCCTCCTGAATCAAAGAAAAACTTTATTTTTATTCAGTGTATCAAATAGCAATTTTTTTTTCTTCATTTTTTAGCTAAATGTGGCAGGCTTAATATTGGATGTATAAATTATTATAAACATTTTTTTTTCAATACAATAGAAATTTAACATTATGTGTTAAATTTTTATAATAATTTAAAACGCCATGCCTTTTAACCAAGTCACTGAAAATTAGGTATAATTACCTAAATTATCAGACTTGTTATTTATCAGCTATATCAAGTAAGATTTACATATAATAAAAAACTTACAATAGTCAACAGCTTAGCATTATAAAATGATCTGTGATTAAAACTATAGTAGTTTTCGCAAATAGTTTTAATCCACTTCACTGCTAATTATTAAACAAACTCTTTAATAATATCACTGCTAATTATTAAACAGAGTAGTATCTAAATTCTCTAACATAGACAAAGATATATCACTGTTATTTATCTTTAACTAAATAAAATGAAAGTGTAATCTACTAAAATATTTTTTTTAAGTATTTTCTATAAAATTAATATTGAATACATAAACATTAATATTGAATAATCGCTAGACCTTACAGAGCTACAGAAAAAAAAATTTCAGTAACCATTTTTCAGTCATGTTATTGAAATAAGTCAATTTTTTTTAAATTTCATACTCTTGCTAAATTTTTATACTTTATCTACACAATATAAGCGTCCCTTAGAAGAGAGTAATTTCTGTGTTTAAAGAATCACTTTAATAGTCATTTATTACTGTTTAAATGAATGATAATTTTTTTACTCTATGATTGATTTGAACAGAATTTGGGGTAGCTAAAAATGCTTGACATGGATTCTGTTTTATTTCTTCTTTTATTTTGAATAAAAGTTTAAATGTTGTTAATTATTAAAAAAATTTTTGAATATCAGCAGGACAGAGTCTCTAGTAACTTAAGAATGTGGGGGCCCAGATCAAATATCCCACTTAGACAATCTTTATGACCGCACTGAGAATACAATTGTACATTAAATATTACATTAGTAAAAATATTAAAATATAAATATTAATGTTTCTGAATATTAAAAAATAAATGTATTTACTTTTCTTGCAAGAGATTGCAAACATATAAGGACTGAGGTAAGATTCTGTTGTTCCCACAAATCTACAGTTTGGAATGTTTCCTCAGCTGGTACACCCAATTTTTTCACCTAAAAAAGAAAATATTTAATTTTATTTGCACTAATTATCAGATATTTAACAATTTAAATCATGATTTTTATTTAATTTTTTCAAAAACAATATATTTATTTAAATAAATAAAATCAAATAATAATGATTAGTATATTTTATCACACTTTTAAAAAAAATCTTTAGCTGTGAGAACAAAAATATATCTCCTACAGTAATATTTTTTTTTATATGAGTTTATAGGGCATTAGTTTTGAGGGCATTTCCTGCATTTTGTATTTTCTGTAAATAGAAGAATGAATTTGTATACAAAAAATTTTTTGTCATTTTATATGAAAATATTATTTAGAGCTGAAATGTTACTAACGTACTGAACTAAAATTAGGCATTTTTTCGGTATTATATTTCTAGTAATATTAGTGATTTAGGTCATCTTCAATTTAACACAAAATACGTAATACATAAAAAAAGTAAATAATTTTTGTCCCTTCTGAAATTGAGTCAATTTTTTAATTATATAATTATATGAATTTACTTTTATACATGAATAAATAATGTCTCTTAGAATAATTTAATGAAGATTTAATAATTTACGTAAGAATAGTTTATGTAAAAAAATTATTTAAATTTAGAAAAATCCATTTAATCCTATCTAAACAAATAGAAATTTTTCTTCTTTTTTTGTCGGTACTAATGCATAATAGAGGGTAAAAATTTCTTGTACTAATAATTCAAGATAGTTTGGTAGCAGAATGTAATTCCTATTATTTTCATTTAATAGTTCGAATATATTGGTAGCAGGATGATTTTATTTTGATTGTGTAATTGTAAAATTTGAATAAGCCTTAAAGTACAGATATTTAATTTAAAAAAACGAAAGAAATTTAAAAAAACGAAAGGCAGGTGATTAAAAAAATTGCTTCTTCCAGATTGATGCTAAAAAAATTAATCACTTGACTTGTTTTCCTTTTAAATGAAGATTTTTTTTAATATTAACAAGATTTACTTAAAAATTATTGAAATTAATTATTTTTCAAGATCATTTTAGTAACGTAAGTAAATTAAAAATTGCCCAATATTTTTTTTTAATAGAACAGACATTTTCTTATACTAAAAATAATTACTAAATGAATTTCAAAAGATACCTGTTCGAGGAAAAGATTTATATTTTCCATACACTTGAAAGCCATTTTAGTATTATTGATTTTCTTTTCAGGAATGGAACCCGGTTGCAAAACATTAATCAATCTAAAAATAGAAATCAACATTATTTATTAAAGAGTCACCATTAAACATTATTGAAGAGTCAACATTGTTTATTAACATAAGAGATTAACTGATTACCATTACATTACGAAACATTGAAGTGAAAAAAAGTAAAATTATTTTTTAAATTTATTAGGAAGGACAAAAAGGCTATTTTTATAGTTATTTATATTTATATTCTATAACGACCATGATGCACTTTAAATGTGAAAGAAATAATTCGAACTTAAATCTAAAAAAATATTTTGTTAAGAAATAAGGTAATAGTACCATTTATTTCATACGTTATTAATTATGAACTAGAAAAATTTTGATCTTGCGATTATGAAAACTACAATTGATGAACTTAATTGAAATTTTTATGACTTATTTCAAATGCTAACACACTCAGAAAAAAGAATATATTCGATGCATGCTTAGCTTCTTTTTTTTTCCATTAATTTAAATCAAAAATAGTTTGAGAAAGAAATTGAAGCACAGTTTACCTGCATAAAACTTGACCATCCTTAAGTAGTTCATAAAACTTTTCTCTGTCGCCAGAAGTATCTATATCTTCTAGTTGCATAACATCTTTCATCCATTCTAGGGTTTGACCTGCCAAAGCTGTGTCGTACTTTGATTGAATCTATGGAAGAAAATATATTACATTATAGAGAGTTGAAATATATATATTGTTTTAAAGCTATATAAAGTGATCGGAAAAACTACTATATTTTTGTAGTTAACTACAACTACTTTGTTATAAATGTAATTAACTACAACTACTTTTTTTCTTGAATGTAGTGACTACAAACTACTTTGGAATTGTAGTTACTTACTTAAGGAGACGAACTTCGGAAGATAACTTAATTTACAACCATGTTCAAAATGGTTTTGAATAAGAAATTGGCTTACATTAAATGTAAGGGAATAATTTATATATTTTTTATAATTTAAATTTTTTTTTGATATTATACAAATTTTTTTTATATTTACCCATGCATATTTACCATGCATCTGTTTTAAATAAATAATAAGTACTATATTTATTTTTTATTCATCTGGTTAAAAAGCTTTTACTTTTTTCCTCACATGTGATGATTTTCAAACAACTTATCAATTATAAGTTTCGAAAGCACTTCTGTAATTTGAACTTTTTTTTTTAACTCAGCTCAAATTACTTAGTTTATAACTGTGTTATTTTATACTACCACACCATTAAAAAAAGTTTTAACCTTTTCAAAATTATCAAGAGAATATCTATAAATAAAACTTTCCTTTTTATAAGGGATTTACATCAAACTACGAGTCATAGATAGTCCCTTGGTCGTATGGATTTCTTTTACAAAAGATAAGGAATGAGTCAGAGGAAATATGTAGGCGTTTTATCAATCACTTTATTGACATTCATTTCCTTTCGCATTTTTTGAATAATAATTCTTACTAATAAGCTGAGCTTTAATCAGCATTATTAATTAAGTAAAGAAATATGACTGCATGCGTTGACAATCTCTATCAAAAAATAAATATTGATACGAGTAAACATAAAAGTTACAGATATTCCAAGGATACGAATGGGAAAGAAAAGAAAAAGGGATCAATTTTTTCATAAAATTGATGTTCCACCATATGTTCTAGAAATGAGCTCTTGCTCCCTCTTGGAGGTTCGAGCCAAGAGAATTTCAATCCGAGCCAGAGATACATAGGATTACTTTAGAGCCCTAGCCACAGATTTTAGTCAGATAAAGACCAAATTTTACGGTCTCGTCACTTGGAATTTGATGTCTAAATAAGAGATTTAGTAAATTAAAACCTTTTCTACCGCTAACCTGTAAAAAAAGCACGTTACTAAGACTCCACAAAGCAAAACGTATATAAAAGAGAGCTATACCACTGGAAAAACACTTCTCGACAAATGCTATTTTACAAACATTATTAATTTAAAATTTAGAAAAAAGGAAAAAGTAAATAATGAAGTTTCAAATGCTGAGGTTGCTATATAAATAGGCAAACAAATTCTGTTATGATTACTTCTCTACGACGTAATCATGCCTCTTTTCGATATATTTTTTTTTTAAATTACCATTTGAAACTTTTGAGTTTACCCGATTTCACTTTTACCGCACTTTACCCTAGAAAGGGAAACAGATTTTGTCACGAAAAGTTTCTCTCGTGATAAAGCGTCTTCTTATGATCCATTTACACTTCATCTGATTTCTTTTTTAATTTACAAGTGGTACTACCTTATCGATGTTGCATAAAACAAAAAAGATTCCAGTCTTTTTGTTTACATCCCTTGTTTTGTGAATTATTGAAAAGAACTGCTCATAATTTCGTGAAATAGGTGTCCGATTCTGACACCATGTTTTCCTAAGCAGTTTCAGTTTTATATAATCAATTAAACATGTGACGATTAACTGTAACATCCGTTATTCAAGTCTTGTGCAGCATCTAATTTCACGATAAATCATTTTATGAAATGGGCTGTTTTTACGAAAGAAATTTGTTGCGAGGAGTCTGTTAATAAACCTATTTCTCCTTAAATGATCCTTGCATGAACTAAACATGTATGTATATAACTACTACTGGAATGGATATTTGAACACTATGATTTCTTTTTCGAAAACTGTGATATGATTTGTCAAACATAATAAATTTTTTTGCATTTATCTACGCAAGTTTTTTTGTCAATTTAAACTTTACTTCCTGTGGATTTTCTTTCTTCGATACACTTCATTCTATAACAGTTTGCCTGTTTAGAAGAAGTTTGATTCAGTTAACGAACACTTCCCAAATGATTTTATCATAAAAATGTACCCTTCATAAGTATTTTATTGTAGAAATGAACCCTTCACAATATTTTTTTACTTGAAAAATGAGCCATTCAGAAACTTTTTATTTAGAAAACAAGTCTACGACGCCTTCAGTTCATAATTTTAAATTCCTTGAATCAACGAAATTCGATTCAGTAAATTATAAAGAGATTCTTCTAAAAAAAGGGGGACCTTCCACAAATTGTCTGAATAAAAATCACTGATGTTAGTGATTTTTTTTTCCACAAAATTTGAAAAGTACCGAACTGTACTGTCACAAATTATGGATAGATTTTTTCACAAAAAGTCTTAAAAATAAATATTTTAAAAAAAACGACTTCTGTTCCCCATTTTTATTTGAAGTAACTTTCAATTTTCTCATGCCACCTATATAGTACATAGGAAAATGCTTTAGCAATTATAGCAAAAAAAAGATTACTTCACAATTAAAAAAAAATACTTAAATCTTGTTTAGATTTTAATAATTTCTAAAGGTTACTTTAATTATTAAATTAATCTACTTGGATATGAATTCTAGGAATTTCGTTGCAGATAAAAGAAAATTATCTCTGTTTTTTAGTATATCGTGAAGTAATGTTTTCATTGTAAAACAAACGTTGTCTATTTTTCAGATAAGATTCTAACCGTTGGAATGAAAAAGATACAGATGATAACAAAAGGAATTAAACTAAATATTTATTCATAGAAATATTCTAAGAAATAAATTACTTTGTACTTTACAGTGTTTGATATTGCTGGACTGTTATTAGACTTTGTGGAACTTGAAATATTTGAAGCGACAGTATTTGCTTTAAAATGTTTTTTTTCTTGACAAAATATTGGTACATCTAATATATCGACCTTTTGCTGAAACCCGAGACTTAATTAATAAATTTTATTAGCTATTGTGAACATATTAATCAGCAAAAGACTCAATACGATTATTTTAAAAATACGGAACAATCTAGATTTTATTTAATACTTTTAAAAATATCTAGCGAATGAATGAAGAATGAAGTTTTTTTCATCATATAGTTTTATTAATACACTGCTGGACAATTGCTAAGGACGGATAACACTAGTTGANTCCAGCAGTGTATTAGTATTAAAATTGGGTTTTATGTCAGTTGAATTCACAGGTCTAGAGCGGTATTTTAGTCTAGTTCTTAATTTTAGTTCATGCTTAAACAGAAAATGAATTAAAATACGATTTAAAATAAAATAAAAACGAAAAAAGAAAATAAGCGTTGAAAATGGTTATCAGAGACACATACTTCCTCACTCTTGAATTAAGCTATTTTTATTCGATGCGAAATACTAAAATTTCTCACAAATCCATATATCCTTTTTATAATTCATTCATTTTATTGCTATAAAGAAACATTGTTTTTGAAGTTTCCTTTTTTTTTTCAAGCATTTTGATTAAATAATTACATATAAGTAACAAATATGAAATAAAAAAGTGGATTATTAATTGAAACGGTCAAAGGGAGCCGTATGTAACATTTTAACGAAAATAAGTTTTTTGTTAGCATACCGAGTCTAGAAAATACCGAGTAATTTTCTAGACAGTCGAATCCATCAATTTGGATGAAATTGAAACAATCTTCCCACAATAAATAGTTTTTTTTTTTCTTCGAAAGTGCAGATTTGTAACATACCCCCTTTTAACACTGACAGCTTCAATTGAATACAATTTCAATTACAGGTTTCGAAAATCTTGACTTGCTAAAAATTTATCAACTTTCGGAATACTTGTGATCGTATACGGAACCATAGTGTTCCGCGGAACACCATTAGGGAACCGCTGGCCTAGAACAAAAGCAGCTTGTGTATGTAATGTCCGAAGGCAAGAGATATTTTTAAACATCGAAACAATAACAGAGGTAGACGCGGTCGCCAAAAAGAATTGAATTTACAACCAACTTTTCTCATGATTTTAGAGATAGAACTTTAACGGAAATGAAAACAGAAATGATTCGAATAACTTCCACGCTCCCAGCTTGCGGATGTGAGAGGGAGAATTATGGTTGAGGAAGAACATTATTAATGCATTAAACAGGGTGGACGCTGATTTCGAATTTAGTGTGGGTTGTGACTGAAATAGTTGACAAAACGATAAAAAATTGTGTAGAAAATTATTTTCGCAAAGTATGCCCGACCAGTTTATCGATTTTTCGTCTCTCTCTTTTTTTTTTTGACACTTCAAGTAAAGTGTTTTAATAAACAGAGAATGGCGTCAAGAAAGTTATCAATCGTTTCACATCGAACTATTTGTTTATATTCTATCATAAGTTGCGTTTTTTTTCTTAAGAATTGCAAGTATTCTCGAAGAACAAATGTTTACTTTTGGTTATCATAGATCCTAAAAGTTATATTTTTTAAATCAAACAGTTAAGGAATATTTCCTTTTGTGATGCAAGAAAATATAAATAAAATAACTAGATAAATGCATAGGTGGGGCACACACAAAAATGTATTGTTCGATTTGAGATTGCGTCATTTTAATCTAAACCTCCATTTTAATCCTTAACGTAAATAGAATAAAATGTAGATGTATCTTTAAGTTTAAAAATTAAGTGCAAAAAAAAGCATAGAAAATCAAATTGAAAATCTCGATGAGTCATAATGAAAGAAGTTACGTTCTCTTAATCAAACAGTAAAGAAGGATTTATTTATTTTTTGTGACTGAATTAAATTAAATAAAATAACTAGATAAATGAATAGGTGGGGCACGCACAAAAAAATGTATAGTTCTACTCAGGTTGAGTTGTATCATTCTAATCTATAACTCCATTTTAATCAGTAACGTGAATAGAATATAGATGTATCT